TTCTTTGCACCAAACCTCCCTTCATGGGGATGGATTTAGGAAAATCTTAGAGAAGATAGGTTCAGCCAATCCCAGAGAGGTCCAGCCAGAAGGCCAATGCTTGGTATGCAGTAGCCCATGGAGGAGTTAGGATCACTACCCTGGGAGCAAGTGGGAAGGAGGTGGTGGCTGCATGGTAAATGCTACCTATCACCACCCCTACTGTTCCTGTGTGCTGAGGATGGAGGTAGCATTATGGTCATATATAACAGGGGCAAGCGTTAAGACTCAGGTCCACACATGTGGCTCAAGGCCAAGACGAGGCAGAGGACTGTTAGTAGCCCAGAGCCCAAGCATATCTTGTGCCAAATTTAAGTGGCCACCCCCAAAGCCAATATGTCAATACCATTCTTAGTAGCTCATCTCCTGTGAAACTGTTAAAGAAATTTTATACTATCCAGAAGGAACATTCTCTAAACCTTAGCTACCTCATCTGCAACATGCAGATTTATGATGAAGTTTTTGTAAGAATTAAACAAGAGAATGCATGTAAGTATGTAATAGTAAATGACAGATATAACTAATAAGTGAAACTTCTTTGAATTTCAAAATTATATAGGCATGAAGTAATAGAATGCGGAATCAAACATACTTATTTTCTTAGTTTCATGCAGCAGAGGCCATGTTGGACCTGAAAAGGAAACAGGGTTGAGAAGATCAGAGTACATATAAACTTTTATAAATGAGTAATATTTAAAGAATAGAAGATACCCAACTCACTTATAATGGTGGCCACATGGAGGCCTTGGGAGTGAGAATGGGAATTGAGAAATTGCTTTGAGAAGGCCATAAAACTAAATACAGTTTACTTTTTACCCAGATTAGGGTTTTTTTCACTCTTTAATCTCTTTTATTTATTGTTTCTACTTGTCCCTTTATTATATCATGGGGACCACGGGAAGAGGAAGGGAAGAGAACTATTCCAGTCTTTTGTTTCCTAACTTTGCCACCCTACAATCAAGCATTGATTTAAAACAACAAAAAACAAAAACAAAAACAGCAAATCCATGCCATAAAGAAAATGTTTAAATAGTGCCTGGCAAACCATACACATTTTAAAAAGGAAAATCATGAAGTATTCACTGATTGACATTTACATAGTAGTTAATATTCATTTTCAGAAGCATTCAGAAAAACAGGACACATGCATATTCAAAAAGACAGACTCCTTTGACATAAAGAAGTAAGCAACCTGGGCAGAAAAGGGACTAGAATTGCAGGTCATCTTTTTTTTCCTTTCTTTCTTTTTTTTTTTTAAAGCAGGGTTCACACCCAGAGCTGAGCCCAATGCCAGGCCTGAACTCACGACCCCAAGACCAAGATCTGGGCTGAGATCCAGTGTTGAATGGTTAACCAACTGAGCCAGCCAGGTGCCCTGCAAGTCATCTTCTTTATTTTTAAATGTTTGTTTATTTATTTTAATTGAAAGAGAGAGCTTGTGCAAGTGGAGTAGGAACAGAGAGAGAGGATGAGAGAGAATCCCAAGGAGGCTCCATGCTCAGTGCAGAGCTTGACATGGGGCTCTATCTCATGACTGCAAGATCATGACCTGAAATCAAAATCAGCCACTTAAATGACTGATCCACCCAGGTGTCCCACAAGTTGTCTCTTATATAGAAAGAATATTCTTGTTGTAGCCCAATAAATTCTCTAATATATACCCCCTTCCTATATTTACATTACTTTCTAAATTTAATCTTAAAAATAACACAAGTGTGAAAGTATAAAGCTGTGCATGGAGTAAAAATGTGGATGAAATCCTTGTTTCATCCCACAGTGGAAATTTTCATGTAATGTGGAGACATTTATCCGAACCATCTGTTGATTGTTCAGCCTGGCTCTACATATACAGAAGAGCTTTTCTTTTGCATGCATGCAAATGGAGATTCACACAGCTCAATACTTATTAAAGATGGTGTATATTTTGATACATGTTGATGTAGCAAAAATTGTGAGTTATTCTGACAAATGTCTTTTATTGTAAATGAGTTTAAATCTCAATCACTCCCTCTCTCTGTCTCTCTGTCTCTCTTCCCACACTCTTAGTGAAATGAAATGCTGCAAATTCTCTTGAGTTTTGGGCATCTGAGGATTCAGCTGAGGACTCAGCTCGGAGGCAGAGCTATCTAAATCTCACATAGTCAAATATCTTGCCAGATCAGACCATCCCACAAAGGAAATTACCCAAGTCAAAGCAGGTAAGCAGAGCAGAATAGATTCAGTTGTTGCTCTGGGACATAATGAAACTGCCTAATTTGAATAGTCAAGTAACCTTATAGAGCTAGCCGGGAGATGGTCAAATATGTGGAAGTGGCTGTGGCAGAGGAGGCAATCATTTCTGCTGGCAAGTAATCAAAGGAATATGTCACTAATTTATGTGACTGTCCAACTTTTTTTCCATAAAGTTCTGGATACTTATCTGTTTGGTATTTTGATAAACTTAGAAATAGATACTGATCTTAAAAAGTCAGTATAATATGTAAAGTATATGAATCTCCATATGAAATACATCAAATATTCAACCTCAATACTGTTACAAGAGGAGGGGACATCTGAATCTCCATATGAAATACATCAAATATTCAACCTCAATACTGTTACAAGAGGAGGGGACATCTTATAAAATTTTATTGAAAGATATTAAGGAGACTCAGAGTAAAGGTGTAAATTTTCCACAAATGGATCAATGTAGATGTAAATAGATTTATTTAATCAATAAATTGGGTATATTGGAGAACAGAATGATCCAGAGCTATGGCAAGTATAGAATTTTTTTCACATATCAACGTGGGTAAAACTTTTAGCAAAACATAGCATTGACTGCAAAATGCAGATTAGAAAAGATATAGAAATTTTTTTCATTTATAAAAGCAAAACTAAATAAGCTGCTTACAAATAAATATATAGGACATTAAAAAGAAAAGCAAGGAAACAACAGCTATAAAATTCAGAATATGCTTATCATTTTCTCAAAAATTATGAAGCCTTTTTATATTATATTTTGTACCTATGAGACATTACACACACGCATGTGTGCACATGCGTGCACACACACATAGATTATTGCCTGGAATACAGATACTTCCTATGGAAAGTAAAAGGAGAAAGTACAGCTTATTTTATGGCCCAAACATGAAAGCCAGACATAGGTTTTCATTAGGGATTATTGCTGAGGACCACTTCCAAAATTCGAGAACGTGGACTTCATTGGTACCCTTTCAAATGTTCATCACATGCATTACAGTCTGAAGGTTTTCCATACCCAATTCTGATTCCTCTCTCCATTTTTATTTTTCGTAGGTCCCTGCACTCCTGATATCTCTCAGGGTCTGTTTCCAGATGACCCAATTGATGTGTCCATGCACTTTTTATTATACTTAATTAAGCTGAGATCTTCTTTTGTGTAGATGGCTGAGATATGCTTCCAAATAATCATATTCTATTCACATTCTTCCTCTTCATTGTAAACTGCTTCCCACAATGCAGTCAATGTTATCTTTTAAACATGTGGTTACTAACTCAAGTCTAGCCTATAATCTTCAGGTGTTTTCATTTTTTAAAAAAAATCTCAAATCCTTGGGGAGCTTGAGTGGCTCAGTCGGTTAAGCTTCTGACTTCAGCTCAGGTCATGATCTCATGGTTCGTGGGTCTGAGCCCCATGTGGGGCTCTGCACTGACAGCTCAGAGCCTGGAGCCGGCTTTGGATTCTGTGTCTCCTTCTCTCTCTGCACCTCCCTTGCTCTTTCTCTCTCTTTCTCAAAAATTAATAAACTTTAATTTTTTTAAAGTCAAATCCTTCATATCTCCTAAATATCTGCATGAAGCAGCCTACACCTCTACTAGAAGATTCACCATTGTCTGGCCCACTGGGCCTCAGGTACTGGCTTCGTTTTGTTCTTTGAAAATGCAAGACTTCTAATCATTTCAGGGATGTGATAGAGGCTAATTAGTCTCCTCTGAATACTTTGTTTTTCTCCTCATACTTTATTTAGAAACTCAAATATATTCTTTAGACTTCATTTTGAATGTTTAGAAACAAAATGAAAAGATAACAACAACAAAAATTTCTGCTCTGTTCCTTACCTAATAATTTGTTAGATCCCTCTTTTACACAGGGACAGCATTTTGTAATTATTTAGCAATTATCATAAAGGTATCTAAATGATTGATTTTCTAATTATTCACTTAATGTCTGTCTCTTTAATTAGAATGTAAAATCCCTGATGGCAGGGACCCTTCCTGTTTGTTTACTTTTTAATATTTAAAATTTTTATTTTTTATTTTATACTTTTTATTTTATTTATTTTTTTTGAGAGAGAAAGAGAGACAGACAATCTGAAGCAGGCCCTGCACGCAAAGCCTGATGTGGGGCTCAAACCCATAAACCATGAGATCATGACCTGAGCCAAAGTCCGATGCTCAACTGACTGAGCCACCCAGGCGCCCTTCCATGTTTTGTTTTATTTTGTTTATCAACTCCTTATTGATATCTATGGCAGTCCTTTGTAAATATGTGGTCATAAACTGTTTTTAAATACATACATACATACATACATGGATACATGGATACATAAGAAGTAGTGGTTCCTAATTTCTGTTGACCAGTATGTCTAACTTCCTCAATTTCCAATATTTTGCATAACATAGTTTTAGGACAAATTGGAGTTTTATGTACACCAAGAAACAGCACATAGAGACTGGGTAAATTGAGTAGATTGTATTCAAGGACTATTTATAAAGTTGCGGGCAAAGTTTTAGGAACTCAATTTGGTATAATTTAGTACCCTGAGACTAAGCATAGGGGGAGGCATTACCAAACTCACATCAGAAGGGACACAGGAAAGGAACTGTTTCCAAAACCCAGAGAGAGAAACTGGAGAAATCAGCTCTACAGAAGTCGTAGATTCTGGTGGTGTGAAGCTAGTTCAACAGACAGAAAGTCTAGAGAAAATGTACCATACCTCACTTTCCTCCCACCTTCAAATCTCCAGCACATGTCTCCCTCCATTGATCAAATCCTACTGTAGCCAGAAAACAAGGGAGACCTGTTAATTCAATGTATACTCATACCATAACACTCAATCTACCTTAAGGCACAGAATAGGAGAAGGTGAACAAGTGTATTAGAAAGGGCAGATGGAAGATGTTCAGCACAAATCCTATCCCTCATTAAATTTATTATCTGTCATTATTTTTTTTTAATGTTTTATTTATTTCTAGGAGAGAGAGAGAGAGAGAGAGAGACAGCGTGAGCAAGGGAGGGTCAGAGAGAGAGGGAGTCACAGACTGAAACAGGCTCCAGGCTCTGAGCTGGCAGTCAGCACAGAGACCGACGCGGGGCCCGAACCCACAAACCACAAGATCATGACCTAAGCGAAAAGTCAGACGATTAACCGACTAAGCCACCCAGGCGCCCCATCTGTCATTATTTTTAAGAGTCACATGTACTTAGTATTTTCTTGAAAATTGAAAACTTTGTAATGTTTAATCTTTTTAAAATATAATTTATTGTCACGTTAGCTAACACACAGTGTATACAGCATGCTCTTGGCTTCAGGAGTAGTTTTGTGATTCATCACTTACATACAATATTCAGTGCTTATCCCAACAAGTGCCCTCCTCAATGCCCATTACACATTTTCCATGCACCCCCGCCCTCTCACTCTCATCAACCCTCAGTTTATTCTCTATGTTTAAGAGTCTCTGAAGGTTTGCCTCCCTCTCTGTTTGTAACTAATTCTTTTTTTTTCCCTTCTCAGGTGCCCCTAGACACTACAGTTCATTTTCACAAGCAGTAAGTGAGAATTTTAGAAAATGGAAACTTAGACATGCATCCTACTTTAAAATAGTTCTGAATGGGATCCCCTTATGATTTCATTTTCTGCTACTCTTCACATTCATCCTTTCATTCAGCCACATTATCTGTTAATAGTTGCCAATGAAGGTATTTAAAAAAAATCCTTATGTAAGCATTAGCTGAGATTCCATAAGGGAATAAAAACAGCTATGAATGATACGTAGTAAAACATTTATTATAATGATTAGAATTTACACAATTGTGGGGAAAGTTGGTGAAGTAAATTTCTAGAAGAAGATATTTAGAGCACCAGAGAGAAGACACTAACCAGAAACCAGGAAGGAAAACTGGTGTAGAAGTCAGTGGAATGAATTATGTACCTTACGGTGGGTCTGAAGTTATCTTGGTCAGTAGTTAGACAGTCAGGAAAATATCTCTATGTGAAACAAACAAACAAAGAAAAAAATCAAAGACAAACTAGAATGCTTGATAATTAACTTGTGCCCTCAAGGACAGATCGGAACTTGCCTCTAGCTTCAGGTATACAGGTAATCTGCAGAAGCAGCATGTGTCCCTTACTCCAGAATTGCACCTATGTCTGGCCCTGGACTTGGAGAAGCTCAAGGAAGAGATGCAAAGCAGGTGGAGGAGCTGTGGCTGTATGAGCCCACCAGCGAGAGAAGCAAGTAGACTGGCAAGGATGTGCCAAGCTCTGGTGGGGCATGGGACTTGCACTCATCATATACAGGTAATGGCTGTCCAATCCTAACCATGAATGGGAAGGTGGTTCTGGAAAATTCGGTTTCTGCTTAACTAAATTAACATAGTACAAAGTCACCACACTCCAATTTTGCTCCCTTCTATGCCTAAAGAATCTCATCACCCCAATCGTCACCCATTTGAGGTAGCATCTACTTCCCTACAGAGAATCCTTTTCTAAACTCACAATTTGTTTTAGATGTCTTTCCTCATAAATCTTGTACCAAACTGCAAATTACTATCATACTTACTATATTTCATATTTATAAATTATCTTCTTTTACTAGCTTATATTGCATTCCCTTAAGCCTAGTACATAAAATTGCTCAAAAAAGATTTGTTGAGGAAGGAAATGAATAGGATTTATCACATCCCACCCTTTATGTTGGTTTATTTATCAGCTGCTCCAATATATTATAATCCTCTTGCGACAAGATCTGAGTAGTTTATTTGTGTCTCTGTAATCTTAGTCCTCACCAAATGCCAGGAACATTTTATATGTTCAGTTAATTTTGTTCAGCAAATGATTTTCTATACCTCACTATCTTTCCTTACAACAGTGTAAGAAGTCTTTCCTGACAGTGGTGTACCTTTTCCACATGTTCACACTGCTACTTGGTCACATAGTCAGAGGGCCCCCAGTTAGTACTGGTTGACAATGTTTCAGAGAGTTATATTAATATCAATATGTGAATTATACCTGACAATTCCAAATGTCTGATGTGTTCATGGGTAGGTATTTCATGAATGGCACAAGGAATTTTAATGTGTTTGTGATTTGACTTGTCAGAAAGCCAAGTCATTGATCATCTTTATAATCCTCACAATGACTGACTCTAACTCATGCATAGAGACAGTTACAGTTGCTGTCACCAAATACGATCAATCATTTAAAAATTAATTTCAGTTAAATGTTCACAGATAAATTAGATCACGTTTGCCATTTGGAGATCTGTTTTGCCTCATCACTTTTATGGCTTCTCTTATCTTTTTGTGAGGCATATAAGCTTTCTGCCTACAAATTCAACTGAGTATAACAGACCATTTGAGACACATTCACATGTTCAGTTCTTAGGAAAAAAATCATTAAACTATTCACTAGTTGAATGCAATTTAGCACCAAGCAACTTTACTAGGCAACACATTTATTCAGTCTAATGCACTGTGTTCTGATTTCTAACAACAAAAGCCAGCTGATTTTCACAGTCAATAACAATTTACAGATAAAAATCAATCTGTTTTACTTGACTGGATTGCAAAACACCTTATAAGTACTTATGTTTTTAACTGTTTTTTTCCCCAAAGCAAAGACATTTAAAATCTCAGTTTGATTTGTTTATAAAACATTTTAAAGCCATTCTTCTTTTTTTTACCTCCTCTTTCCCCTTAAGAATCCCTCGCCCATTTTTCCATTTCTCATGCCCCCTCTATTTTGAATTTTTTCTGTTTATACTACTTAATAAAAAAGCTTATTATTTAGGACCTTTTAAAGAGAGGCTTGTACAACTTCCATTTCTGACTATGACAGACTATATTTTATAAGACCAATCTCCCTTTGAAAGTAACAACTATAAATGATGCATGAAATACTAAAACAAAAACAACAAAATTATTGCTTAAAGCCATCAGAGAATAATCTGGACATTCAAGACATGAGCGGTCAAATTCCAGAAGAACAGAAATGTCATAAAATTCACTGGAAAAGGCATTTTCTGATTCTTTAATGAAGCACTACCCAGAAATTGAGCAGAAAGCCATGGCTCAAAATATTTGTCAATCTTCCAGGACTAGGAGACAAAAATTAGAGTTCTGGTCTACCATAAATTCCATGCATTCTGCCCTACAATTTTCCTCATAGCACTTAGAGACTTGAACACCTCTCTATAAAAGGACAGGTCAAGCAGTCAAGTATAAGGGAAGATGGAGAAGCCAAAAACTAAGGAGAGCTCTTGGAAATTTTGCCACGCTGAGGAGATAAAATTGTGAGTTCAGAGCCAACCCAGGATAAAGAACTCTAATCAATACTCCTGGATTTCAATTGCAATCTCCAAAAGACACTCTAGGAGTAAAAGGAAAATTAGAGACAGATTAGACCTCAATAATTTGTTTTTTTTAGTTTATCTATTTATTTTGAGGGCGGGAGAGCACACATATGAGAAGGTGAGGGGCAGAGAGAGAGAGGGAGAGAGAATCCCAAGCAGGTTCTGTGCTATCAGCATGGGACTCAATCATGACCTGAGCCAAAATCAACAGTTGGTTACTCAACCGAGTCATCCAGGCACCCTGAGACCTCAATAATTTAAAACCTCACCTCAAATCATATACACTCAGATTGGTACAGGAGTATTTGGGCCATACTGGATTGACTTTCCAAAAGAAAATCCTCTGGGTGAAGATTATATCATTTGGAGTTTCTACAATGCTTTCCTATACAGCGATCTAAAATTACCAAGGCAGCCTGGAGACAGGATCAAAAAGAAGGAAGGAAAAGTAGACAATCAAAAAAACCCAGATGTGGGACTTTTCAGACATGGGCATTAAAATAATTACAATTTATATGTTCAAGAAAATAAAGATTATATTGTAAAATTTCACCAGAATAATAGAATCTATATATAAATTCAAATTTTAGAATTAAAGTTTGCAATGGCTAACATGAAGAAATTAACAAATGAGATTAGTTTTTAAATAAACAGAGCAGAAGACATTTTTAGATTTGAAAACAGGACTATAGAAAATACCCAGACTGAAGCATGGTCATTAAAAAAGAAGGAGGGAAAAAAAGAGTATAATACCTATATGCAACTTAATGAAAGAGCTAATGTATTTTGTCCTAAAGTCTAAGAAGAAACAGAAAACAAGAACAAGGCAGAAACAATATTTAAAGAGATACTGTCTTGGAATTTTCCAACACAGATATAAGACATTGAGCCACAGAGGCAAGCTCTAAATAGAGACTCATTTGTGAGCCCTTTCATCCATGTGTCATATACTCTGCAGTGCCCTCTTAGGATGCTTGAGATGTTCATTTATGCAATTCCTTCTTTAATCTCCCAAGACATTCCTTCCAGTGACATTTACTGATCAATGCATAGGTACTCTGCACAGTTGTGAATAAGAGAATTACCACAACACAAATGGCCAGCAATAATGTGGCCCCTTCTCACTGTGGACAAGAATGAATGCTTTGAGATAAAGCATGATATCTCTTTTATGTAGCTAATTGTATAATAACCCACTGTGGTGCAGAGGGAAGAGGAAAAATCATTCTTAACCTATGATAGTAATTAGCTTTTATTCTTGAGAATAGGGATTTATAGCAGCTCTTAACAGCGATCTGAAGTCAGTGGGAAAGAATCATTAGAACATCTACTATACTAGAGACTTACCTGAGCCCATCAGAAACTTGATTTTGTGTGTATGTGTGTGAATGTGTGAAATGTATCATTTTTCCCTGTGTCTCTTTGTTTCACATAAGTGTATCTATTTATTAAGAACTTGTATACTTAAAAAGAAAGAGAAAAAAGTAGATCTCCCAATGGGGAATTTTTGGGGATTTCCTTTGTATATGAACATCTTCAAATGTATCTTGTACTTAAATATTTTCTAATAATTTAGTATCCTTATGGAATGCATGATTTCATACTGATTCTACAATTGTTCGATATATAATTTCTCTAACACCATTATCTTAAGTTACTTGAAGATTCCATCACACTTCCCTAAAGTGTGCTTTTTTACCATTTCTTAGGAATTCAGTATGTCCCTCTTTTTCAGAAATACCTTTACAAATAGTTCTTCTCATTTTATTTGGAGGCCTAATTATGAAGGATAATTTAAATGGTCTTATTTTTCTCTGAGGTTTGGCCTTGTTCAATTGGACTTCTCAATTAATAGCAGATGCTATTTCATCCATGTGTCATGTAATAGCAAGTGCTATTAATCAAATGTATTTATTTGATACTGTTGAAAAAATGTGCAGCCCTTCTCTGATGCACTTTGTAATTCATAGATATGCGCCCTTAGCCAAGTACTCCAAATTGTATTTTCCAGTCTGAGTAATCTCTTGCTGAGTCGGGGATTTGAAATGTGTTCTCTGTGGGACTTCCTTGGCAGCAACTGTGTTCAGGTAGATGTCTCCACCTGTGACTCAGAGAAGCTACTAATGCCCACCCATAAGAGCTATTAGCTTAAGTGTAAGAGAAAGCTTCATCCGACTCGACATAAAACATTCACCGGAGATTCTACTGCTCTTATAAACTAAGTCATTCATTTTCCATGTTGCAAATTGTGTTTGGCTTTTAATGTTTACTCTCTGACACAGGAAGATGAACTGTAAAATACCAATAAGTGCATCAGAAAGAAACTAAATCCCTTCGATGCAGTGTCACACTTCTGTAGTTTCTATCCATACTTAGCATTAGATTTTGGAAATAATATTAAAATACTTTTGGAGAGTAGGGAAGATAAAAGAATTGAATACTTAAGATTGTGTGTGCCTGCTTTCAGTATTACATTAAAAATGATAAATACATCATCTCCTTTTCAGGGCACTTGGAATATGAATGAAGCATAATGCAAACAGGTAATTGCAATAAAGTTATAGTGCTGCAGTAGGGACAAGCATATGCTGTGTGCTGTGTGGCCTCAAGGTTCTCAGGCCAGAGTTTTGGGTTTGG